CACGTGTCATAGTCCTGTGTAACAGACTGAACACACGTGTCATAGTCCTGTGTAACAGACTGAACACACGTGTCATAGTCCTGTGTAACAGACTGAACACACGTGTCATAGTCCTGTGTAACGTGTCATAGTCCTGTGTAACAGACTGAACACACGTGTCATAGTCCTGTGTAACAGACTAAACACACGTGTCATAGTCCTGTGTAACAGACTAAACACACGTGTCATAGTCTTGTGTAACAGACTAAACACACGTGTCATAGTCCTGTGTAACAGACTGAACACACGTGTCATAGTCCTGTGTAACAGACTGAACACACGTGTCATAGTCCTGTGTAACAGACTAAACACACGTGTCATAGTCCTGTGTAACAGACTGAACACACGTGTCATAGTCCTGTGTAACAGACTGAACACACGTGTCATAGTCCTGTGTAACAACTGAACACACGTGTCATAGTCCTGGTACGTGTCATAGTCCTGTGTAACAGACTGAACACACGTGTCATAGTCCTGTGTAACAGACTAAACACACGTGTCATAGTCTTGTGTAACAGACTAAACACACGTGTCATAGTCCTGTGTAACAGACTGAACACACGTGTCATAGTCCTCTGTAACAGACTAAACACACGTGTCATAGTCCTGTGTAACAGACTAAACACACGTGTCATAGTCTTGTGTAACAGACTAAACACACGTGTCATAGTCCTGTGTAACAGACTGAACACACGTGTCATAGTCCTCTAACAGACTAAACACACGTGTCATAGTCCTGTGTAACAGACTAAACACACGTGTCATAGTCCTTTGTAATAGACTGAACACACGTGTAATAATCCTCTGTAACAGACTAAACACACGTGTCATAGTCCTGTGTAACAGACTAAACACACGTGTCATAGTCCTGTGTAACAGACTAAACACACGTGTCATAGTCCTGTGTAACAGACTGAACACACGTGTCATAGTCCTGTGTAACAGACTGAACACACGTGTCATAGTCCTGTGTAACGTGTCATAGTCCTGTGTAACAGACTGAACACACGTGTCATAGTCCTGTGTAACAGACTAAACACACGTGTCATAGTCCTGTGTAACAGACTAAACACACGTGTCATAGTCTTGTGTAACAGACTAAACACACGTGTCATAGTCCTGTGTAACAGACTGAACACACGTGTCATAGTCCTGAGTAACAGACTAAACACACGTGTCATAGTCCTGTGTAACAGACTAAACACACGTGTCATAGTCTTGTGTAACAGACTAAACACACGTGTCATAGTCCTGTGTAACAGACTGAACACACGTGTCATAGTCCTCTAACAGACTAAACACACGTGTCATAGTCCTGTGTAACAGACTAAACACACGTGTCATAGTCCTTTGTAATAGACTGAACACACGTGTAATAATCCTCTGTAACAGACTAAACACACGTGTCATAGTCCTGTGTAACAGACTAAACACACGTGTCATAGTCCTGTGTAACAGACTAAACACACGTGTCATAGTCCTGTGTAACAGACTGAACACACGTGTCATAGTCCTGTGTAACAGACTGAACACACGTGTCATAGTCCTGTGTAACGTGTCATAGTCCTGTGTAACAGACTGAACACACGTGTCATAGTCCTGTGTAACAGACTAAACACACGTGTCATAGTCCTGTGTAACAGACTAAACACACGTGTCATAGTCCTTGTAATAGTTCCTGAACACACGTGTCATAGTCCTCTGTAACAGACTGAACACACGTGTCATAGTCCTCTGTAATAGACTGAACACACGTGTCATAGTCCTGTGTAACAGACTGAACACACGTGTCATAGTCCTGTGTAACAGACTGAACACACGTGTCATAGTCCTGTGTAACAGACTGAACACACGTGTCATAGTCCTCTGTAACAGACTGAAAACACGTGTCGTAGTCCTCTGTAACAGACTAAACACACGTGTCATAGTCCTGTGTAACAGACTGAACACACGTGTCATAGTCCTGTGTAACAGACTGAACACACGTGTCATAGTCCTGTGTAACAGACTGAACACACGTGTCATAGTCCTGTGTAACAGACTGAACACACGTGTCATAGTCCTGTGTAACAGACTGAACACACGTGTCATAGTCCTGTGTAACAGACTGAACACACGTGTCATAGTCCTGTGTAACAGACTGAAAACACGTGTCATAGTCCTCTGTAACAGACTGAACACACGTGTCATAGTCCTGTGTAACAGACTGAACACACGTGTCATAGTCCTGTGTAACAGACTGAACACACGTGTCATAGTCCTGTGTAACAGACTAAACACACGTGTCATAGTCCTGTGTAACAGACTGAACACACGTGTCATAGTCCTGTGTAACAGACTAACACACGTGTCTTAGTCCTGTGTAACAGACTGAACACACGTGTCATAGTCCTGTGTAACAGACTGAACACACGTGTCATAGTCCTGTGTAACAGACTGAACACACGTGTCATAGTCCTGTGTAAACGTGTCATAGTCCTGTGTAACAGACTGAACACACGTGTCATAGTCCTGTGTAACAGACTGAACACACGTGTCATAGTCCTGTGTAACGTGTCATAGTCCTGTGTAACAGACTGAACACACGTGTCATAGTCCTGTGTAACAGACTGAACACACGTGTCATAGTCCTGTGTAACAGACTGAACACACGTGTCATAGTCCTGTGTAACGTGTCATAGTCCTGTGTAACAGACTGAACACACGTGTCATAGTCCTGTGTAACAGACTGAACACACGTGTCATAGTCCTGTGTAACAGACTGAACCCTGCGGGTCCTGGATCCAAAGCCGGTCCTGGTCCTTGAGTCTGTCTGGCCTCCTGCTGGTCCCAGAGTCTGTGGGAGCAGATCCTTCTCTCGAAGTGGACCTTTCTTTTGTAGGGCAGAGATTATTAAAACATTTATGAACAGAAATTATAAATAAACATTTTTGGGCATTGGTCATCCCTCTCCCTCTGGACCATGGGTGAGAAGTTTCGGCCCGGGGGCCAGATGCGGCCCTCGAGTGAATGATCTTGGCCCAAGAATAAACATTGAACCTGTTCCAGTCCTCGGCTTGTAGAAAATGTGTCTTTTCTGATGTGTTGGACTTTGACGTCCCTGCTCTAGACCAAGTGTTTATTACATCTGTTTGATTCTCTGATCTGTTGTAAGTTCATCAACAACTTTATAAAGTCCTCCGAGACGCCTGCTGTAGTGTACAAGGGGAATACACAAATACATTGAATTGAATTTTGTTTTTGAATTTAAGTTTGCATCATGAAATCCAGCAGTCTTATTAATCTTTAATGTGACTAAAGTAGAAACACGACCAAACTGCTCTAAAACTCATTCAACAAAAACACAGAAAGATGCAGATGTCGATTAGCAGCAGATAAATAAAAACTCAAGACAACATGTTTTCCACAGACTTCCACTGCCATTTTATGTGCCAGTTTTTTTAATGTTCAAAGTGACCTTTCTAACAGAACATCTCCCATAATGAGAACCAGTGTAATCCGCTAATTATAAGAACAATTACAATAAAGGTAACACTTGATTTGAAAACAAAAGATGAAAGTAAAAAATAAATCCAAACAAGGTAAAAACCCAAAAAATGGATAAACACTTAGAGTAGTTTAATTTTTTCAAAAGTGATCTATACGCTTCTATATTTTTTCATTTACTCGTCTTGAGGATAAAAAATATTCACGACTTTTACTGCACTTTGAGTCTCTCTGAAATGTAGCTTACCTTTGTCCACACGTCTCTCTCTCGTCGCACGGATCCCGACACAAAAACATGGAAACACAGGTGTGAAATACTCCTCTGCAATGTTCACGTATTGTCAAAAAGTTCAAGTTTTTTCCCCCCGTCATTCCAGATTTCAGGACTTTGAGGACGAGGGAAGCCATTTTGAATTCCCCCGTTTCGCTGAGTGGACTTCTGCTAGCATCCGTTTGTCCTTTGCTATAAATGAAAAGAGGTGGGTTTTTCCATTCATTCATCATAGGCACTAGTGTTAATAATAGCAGCTAGCTTATTGCTATTAGCGGTAGCATTGCAGTCACCCTGCCCAATTTGAATAGTGATTTAATTGGTTTTATTTTTCCTACCGCTATTAGCTTAGCATCGGCTATTACTAACCCTAGCACAGTCACATCCAAAATGGTATAATCCGGAATCACGTTTCTTCCTTGACAACAACAGCAGACAAAAAATATTTTGCATGGCTATAAAATAGAACAAAATACTTCCACTCCCATAGTTTTACATTTATATCCCGTATTTTTTTCGTTTTAGCTTTTCCTCAATCCCGCGAAAATACTGTATGTCTTTAGCAGCACAGTCAGAGCGGCCATCTTGAAAAAAATCGCAAAAGCCACCGCGATTATACCCCTCTCTTTTTATATATTCTTTAGATGTCGCCAAAGCTCAATAAAGACTTATTTTTTATAATTTACTTCTCTGAGTGAAAATATATTTACGGTATATATAATATGTACTTTCTGTCCTTTATATCAATATATCTTTCCTGTTGTCCATTGCACTTCCCGTCGGAACAGAGACAGTAGCCACAAAATGGGTGAAAAAAGTTGAAAAAGTGATTTGTTTTTCTCTATGAAAATCCAGGTCATAAATGCAGTCCTCAAAGCACTGTTTGTTATTCACCGTCCTTGCCAAATCCATGAGTATGTCCTTCTCCAAATATATACACTGAGTGAATATATTGTAATCCAGAAAGCATCACTCGCGGCGTCTTCTTCGTGTGGTCACAGATGACACATTGGCTTGGTCTTTGTCCAACTTTGGCAAACAGTGATTGCGACAGATTGTACATGTAACTGAATGATTGTGGCGTTTACATAATACCCAAGCTGGTCTCCCATCCGCCCTCTTTTCTGTCCCCATCCACAATTCAGCAATGGGAAAAAAATAACTCTTTCTCCGATTCGCTACGATCAGTCTCCTTTGGACCATTTCAGATTTGAGTCTCTTGTACGTTCTCTTTCGAGCCGCTTTTAAAAAGGAGCGGCTCGTTTTGGCCTTTTCCCATGAGGCCTTTCAGCGAACTGTGTAGGCCCATTTGAGGCAAGGGGACCGGGGTGGGCAGAGTCCCGCAGGTGGGCATCCCTCCTCCCATGGAAGTAGGAATCTGGGTGCACGATATGGACTGCGGCGGCGAGCACGGCGATGGGTTGTTGTTGTTGTTCAGACCTGGCCCCAGCCCCATCATGTTATTGTTGAAATGATGCGTTTTGTAATAGTGGTTCATATGCTCCGATCGCGCCAAGTTCGGGAGGTTGACGATCTCCGGATGGTGCAGCCTCAGACTTTGCCCGCCTCCGATTCCGCTGCTGCAGGTTTGCGATATGGTGGACCCTCCGGAGATGCCGCTACCTCTTCCGCCTGCTCCGGCTCCCAGTTCATCCTCCACGTTGATGATTTCGATGGCTCTGGCCGGGCCGTGATGCTTATGCAGCTGGTGTTGCTTTCTCAGCTTGTAAAAAACCACGAGCATAACCGCCGCCATGAACGTTATCGCCACGAAACAACCGATGATGATCTTGGTGGTCTTCATGACGTCGTCCAAGCCGGAGTATCCCGGTTCTGTGATGGGAACAGTGAATGTCGGTCGCGTTGCTTTCGGGGATAAAGAAGACCAACTGCCGGATAGAGAAGACACAGTGGTCGGAGCGCCGTCTGGGAGTAAGTTTCCTGAAGACGTAGGGCCCGGAGGCATGCGGATAAAAGTCTGATTGATGACCACAAGCGCTGGCTCCTCCTCCCCGTTCGTCTCCATGGTTTCCACCGTCACTGTGGTGAAATACGTGTAGTTTACGCTAGCATCCGCCGCCGTGACGTTGAGGACCGCGGTAGCCGTAGTGTTTCCGGCCGCGTTGGTCACCATGCACGTGTACTGCCCGGTGTCTCGGAGCGTAACGTTGGTAAAGTTGAGCGTTCCATCGTGCAGGACGGAAATGCGAACTTTGTAAGATCCGTGCGTCATCAGCGTACCGTTCGGCGTGATCCAGTTGACGGAGGTGGTGGAGGTGCTTGTGCGGCATTTGAGCTCCGCGGCCATTCCCTCGGTCACGTTGAGGTCGGTCGGAGGTTCCACGATCACCGGAGCGTAGCACGTGAAGTGGCTCTGGTCCAGCTCGCCGATGTACTTCCCTTTCAGGAACGGCGGGGCGTGGCAGCGGGCGCAGCAGGTCGTGTTGCTTGGGACGGTTTCTTTGAGCCACCAACTGAGCCACAGGATGTCGCAGTTGCAAACCCAAGGGTTGTGGTTGAGATGCACGCGCTCCAGCTGGTGTAACGGCGTGAAAAGATCGTGCGGCAAAGAGTGGAGCGAGTTATGAGACAGATTTAGCTCCTCCAGACTTTTCAGATCGTCAAACGCGTTCCGCTCAATGACGGAAACTTGCGAATGCATCAACCAAAGCTTGCGTAAAGCTACCAACCCCTGGAACGAACCGGGTCGGATGATCTCCAGGCGGTTACCGGAGAGTTCCAGCTCCTCCAACCTGACGAGCGCGGTGAGTTTGGGAATGTCTTTCAACCCGCACATCCCCAGATTGAGATACCGCAGGTTGACGAGGCCCACGAAGGCGGCGTCGGAGATAAAATCCAGCTTTTTGAGTTCGCCCAGGTCCAGTCTGCGGAGCGAGGGCACGCGTTGGAAAGCGTAGCCAGGCAGAGTTTCGATGGGATTGTTGCGGAGCCAGAGCTCGCGCAGTTTGCTGAGGTACTCGAAGGCGTGGGAGGGCACCAGGGTGAGCCGGTTGTCGAACAGCTCCAGGGTGTTGAGGTTGGGGAGGCCATTGAACGCGCCCACTTCGATCTGACGGATCTGGTTCTTGGACAGTTGGAGGATCTCCAGGTGGCGCAGGTGCTTGAAGGTGTCCGATTTAATGACCTGCGCAGAAAGAGGAGGTGGTGAGTCTGGGGTTCAAACATACGTTAAAAATCATTACTTTAGAAATATGTTTCTGAGCTCTGCGTTCTCTGTCGGGCAAATACTGTAGTAGTTTAAGGTTTACAGGAGGATTTTACCACATTTTAGGGCATTTGGTAAACTCTCTGCTCTTATTGGACGAGCTCGTATCACCAGAATGATTGACAGTTTTAATTTATCAGAAAAACACTTCATTATAATATTTCTTATTGTGGCCTCGGTGACATTTTCTGCAAGAAGATCAAGAAAATGGAGGTGTATCCTTTTAAAGCAGTAAAGTACAAAGTTTGGAAAACAAAAGTTGGGTTATGATGCAAAATTGAAATAATAAAAAAACATTTATAACAGCAGTACGTTTAAATGTTCTCCTTGTGTCTGCGTAGGTTTCCTCCAGGTGCTCCGGTTTCCCCTACCCCTAAAACATGGACAATAGTCTAAATGTTCTGAGTGAATGGTGTTGGTTTAGGGTTGACGTGTGTTCAGCGTCTCTCTTTTGTCGTTGGAGAAATGAACATTCTGTTGTGACGTTGGTCTGTAAAAATGTGCTATATAAATAAAGATTACTTACTAACATAATGGAAAAGTGTGAGTCTGTAGCGTGTCTCTACAGTGAGGATGAGAAATGGAAGTGACACTATCTCTCAAAGGAAAAACGTACTTTGTTAGCTCATTGACTGCTGCCGTTTTTGATGATTTCACTGATTCTCAAGACCCACAGAATATTATTTCCTAAGACTATGTGAAATATGAAACCAGATTCTGAAAGACTGGATTGTCGACTTTAATCAGCAAAAATAAGTTTGTTTCTAGCTGTTTATATTGTCCTGTAATCTGCAGTCAAATAGAGGCTCCCAGACAAATACGTCAATGGCAGTCAATGAGTTAAGCCTTTCCTTGTGCATAAACTGTGCTACACATATAAACTTGCCTTCGTCTTACAGGAAGTACAGTAAACCCCGAACAGAGGCTAAAATCTCACCTCATCAAATATTCAACACCTTAAAAATCTGTAAAAGTGAAATAAACAAAGTACAAAGCTGAATTATTAACACAGAAGCTTTCACGGCAGCGTCGGGTCACATGACTCTGCTCTAATTGGACTCATTTACTATTTAGTCTCATTATGGAGTAAAACCCAGTGTTGCGGACGGGTTTATGCCTCTGCTTCCTCTGAACACACTCATGTCCAGAGGTGAAAGTTCATTTGGGAATTTCTGTGGAAAAGGTAAAAGAACGAGTCGCGATTAATGTTAACATCGTTTTGTTTGGACGGATTCTGTAACGACAAAACTGTGGTCGGGAAAGTTTTAGTTCTTTTTCAAACTGAATGTGAAGCAGGTTTTTGTGATTCGTTGCAGAAAACATTTGTTCTCTTTCGGAAGCTAAGCAGCGATGGGCCTGGTTAGTGTTTAGATGGGAGACCGCTGTAATACTGGTGTCACAATTATTAGTCCTGTTTCCACCAATCCCTACTCTACCCGACCCTACCCTACTCTACTCTACTCTACCCTTCTCTACTTTACTCTACTCTACTCTACCCGACCCTACCCTACTCTACTCTACTCTACCCTTCTCTACTTTACTCTACTCTACTCTACACGACCCTACCCTACCCTACTCTACCTTTCTCTACTTTACTCTACTCTACTCTACCCTACCCTACCCTACTCTAGTCTACTCTACTCTACTCTACCCTTCTCTACTTTACTCTACTCTACTCTACCCTACCCTACTCTACTCTACTCTACCCTACCCTACTCTAGACTACTCTACTCTACCCCACTCTACTGTACCCTACCCTACCTTACCCTACTCTACTCTACCCTACCCTACTCTACCCTACTCTACCCCACTCTACTGTACCCTACTCTACTCTACCCTACCCTACCCTACTCTACTCTACTCTACCCTACCCTACTCTAGACTACTCTACTCTACCCCACTCTACTGTACCCTACCCTACCTTACCCTACTCTACTCTACCCTACCCTACTCTACCCTACTCTACCCCACTCTACTGTACCCTACTCTACCCTACCCTACTCTACCCTACCTTACCCTACTCTACTCTACTCTACTCTACTCTACTCTACTCTACTCTACTCTACTCTACTCTACTCTACCCTACCCTACCCTACCCTACCAGGCAGAATGTGCTCATATTTAAATACATTTAACAACATTTGGGCACTTTTTGACACATTTTTCATCACTTTTTGCAGTGTACCAAATCCCAGCACACAAAACAAACCAGTATCCGTGGACATTCCTTGGTAACCACAGCTTCCAGCAGCTCTTTGACCAATCACTGCCAGTTTGAACACTTTTATACCAGCTCGGCCTGGATAGAACCAGGATATTAACCCTTGGACAGACATCGCAGATTAGCCTTGGATATAAATGTTGTAGTGTTTCACATGTTGATTGTGTTTACGTGTTCCTATCAAATAAATCAATACATAAAATAAATAAACTATGGACTAAAAACACTCACAGCCGAGGTAGAAACAGGGCTATAGGGCTGCTGGAAACAGGGCTGTGGGGCTGGTGGAAACAGGGCTATGGGGCTGGTGGAAACAGGGCTGTGGGGCTGGAGGAAACAGGGCTATGGGGCTGGTGGAAACAGGGCTATGGGGCTGGTGGAAACAGGGCTATGGAGCCGGTGGAAACAGGGCTGTGGGGCTGGGGAAACAGGGCTATGGGGCCGGTGGAGACAGGGCTGTGGGGCTGGTGGAAACAGGACTGTGGGGCTGGTGGAAACAGGGCAATGGGGCTGGGGGAATCAGGGCTATGGGGCCGGTGGAAACAGCGCTGTGGGGCTGGTGGAAACAGGGCAATGGGGCTGGGGGAATCAGGGCTATGGGGCCGGTGGAAACAGGGCTATGGGGCTGGTGGAAACAGGGCAATGGGGCCGGTGGCAACAGGGCTTCCTTGGGGCCGATGTCAAATAAGTAACATTTATCCATTAACCTTTTTATAAGCTTGGAGTGTTGTTTGGACCTGTGTCGGCTTTTCCCCCCAGGAATAACATTTAACAAAACAACAAAACAATCCAAACAGACTCTGACTTTGAGAATGGTGAAGTCAGAGCGCGGAGCAGCCAGGACCCGGGGATTCTTTTTAATGGACGAGAGCCCGGAAGAACCAGGACCTCTTTAAACTTTACACGATGGAAATAACCTCGGATCGTTTCTTCAAAACTCTGAGACGATCACGATAAAGAATCTGTACAGCCTCAGTCCTGGGTCTACAGCCTCAGTCCTGGGTCTACAGCCTCAGTCCTGGGTCTACAGCCTCAGTCCTGGGTCTACAGCCTCAGTCCTGGGTCGACAGCCTCAGTCCTGGGTCTACAGCCTCAGTCCTGGGTCGACAGCCTCAGTCCTGGGTCGACAGCCTCAGTCCTGGGTCTACAGCCTCAGTCCTGGGTCTACAGCTTCAGTCCTGGGTCTACAGCCTCAGTCCTGGGTCTACAGCCTCAGTCCTGGGTCTACAGCCTCAGTCCTGGGTCTACAGCCTCAGTCCTGGGTCTACAGCCTCAGTCCTGGGTCTACAGCCTCAGTCCTGGGTCTATAGCTTCAGTCCTGGGTCTACAGCTTCAGTCCTGGGTCTACAGCTTCAGTCCTGGGTCTACAGCTTCAGTCCTGGGTCTACAGCTTCAGTCCTGGGTCTACAGCTTCAGTCCTGGGTCTACAGCTTCAGTCAACTGCTATTGGGATTCAGATATAATACAATTTTGTTTTTTGGCTTTTTTTGGAATTTGCCTTAAAACTTACCATACTAAACTTTTACACTGCAAAAAGTAAAACAAGAGGTAATATTATCTTGAATCCACTCTTGAATCCACTTCAATTAAGACACATTTTACCATTTTTTTTACTAAGAGACATTTCAGACTGTTCTTCCTCACTTTGTGCAGAGCAGAGTGTTTGTTGCAGACTGTGTTCAGTAAAAGCAGAAGCA